TTTGTGAACTTAAATTACTTTAATTTTCATAATGTTAGGGTGCTGCTAGCTGATTGCTGTAACAAGGTTTGAACATTCAGATATTTATAAAGCTTTAAATTGCTGTCACCTGGTCTCCCCTAATTATGATTTAATAACATATACACTTAATCAAGATTAGATCTGAAGGTTATATTGGAGCTTTAAATATATAACAAACTTTTTTATAATACTTCTTTCCTTGAATTTATGTTGGTAATAAACATTTCTTAATTCATATTTTAATAAATTGTATATTTTTCTTCTCATTAGAATGATATACACTATATTGCCAAAAGTATTTGCTCACCTGCCTTGACTCACATATGAGCTTAAGTGACATCCCGTTCCTAATCCATAGGGTTCAATATGACGTCGGTCCACCCTTTGCAGCTAGAACAGCTTCAACTCTTCTGGGAAGGCTGTCCACAAGGTTTAGGAGTGTGTTTATGGGAATTTTTGACCATTCTTCCAGAAGCGCATTTGTGAGGTCGCACACTGATGTTGGACGAGAAGGCCTGGCTCTCAGTCTCCGCTCTAATTCATCCCAAAGGTGTTCTATCGGGTTGAGGTCAGGACTCTGTGCAGGCCAGTCAAGTTCATCCACACCAGACTCTGTCATCCATGTCTTTATGGACCTTGCTTTGTGCACTGGTGCACAGTCATGTTGGAAGAGGAAGGGGCCAGCTCCAAACTGTTCCCACAAAGTTGGGAGCATGGAATTGTCCAAAATGTCTTGGTATGCTGAAGCATTCAGAGTTCCTTTCACTGGAACTAAGGGGCCAAGCCCAGCTCCTGAAAAACAACCTCACACCATAATCTCCCCTCCACCAAACTTTACACTTGGCACAATGCAGTCAGACAAGTACCGTTCTCCTGGCAACCGCCAAACCCAGACCCGTCCATCAGATTGCCAGATGGAGAAGCGCGATTCGTCACTCCAGAGAACGCGTCTCCACTGCTCTAGAGTCCAGTGGCGGCGTGCTTTACACCACCGCATCCGACGCTTTGCATTGCACTTGGTGATGTATGGCTTGGATGCAGCTGCTCGACCATGGAAACCCATTCCATGAAGCTCTCTGCGCACTGTTCTTGAGCTAATCTGAAGGCCACATGAAGTTTGGAGGTCTGTAGTGATTGACTCTGCAGAAAGTTGGCGACCTCTTCGCACTGTGCGCGTCAGCATCCGCTGACCCCGCTCCGTCAGTTTACGTGGCCTACCTCTTCGTGGCTGAGTTGCTGTCGTTCCCAAACACTTCCATTTTCTTATAATACAGCTGACAGTTGACTGTGGAATATTTAGGAGCGAGGAAATTTCACGACTGGATTTGTTGCACAGGTGGCATCCTATCACAGTTCCACGCTGGAATTCACTGAGCTCCTGAGAGCGACCCATTCTTTCACAAATGTTTGTAAAAACAGTCTGCATGCCTAGGTGCTTGAATTTATACACCTGTGGCCATGGAAGTGATTGGAACACCTGATTCCAATAATTTGGATGGGTGAGCAAATACTTTTGGCAATATAGTGTATTTACAAGTACCAGAAAGTTATTTTTTAATTTTAACCTCAGTATATAAGCTTATTTCTGCATGATAGCTCGAGCTAAGATCAGAAATACACTTCATAGTTGGAATGGAAAGGAAAAGTGCGGTCAGCAAGGAATGGTCAATGGATCGTTATCTATACCTAAAACTAATAAGTTTTCAGTGATTTAAGTGTTAATTAGTTAAGAAATAAAAAATAAAAAATTTTCGTCGCAAGCAATGAGTGCAGGACCAGACATTTTTGCCCAAATATAGTAACACCTCACTCCTGACATCTTCCGACAGTGACGTCATGGTGCTCTAAGCCTAGCGCCATTCTTCCCGCTTTACAAGCAAAATCAATGGGAGCTACTAGACACATCTGCAATCAACAACAATTATTTAAGATTTCGAGAGGACTTCATCATTGAAATTCGCAAGAGCTATGGTTAAATTGACAATGCCAATGTGCATGGCAGTTGGATGTTGTAATACATCAGGTAAAAATGAAAAAAAAAAAAAAGAAGTGTTATTTCACCTTTCTGATTCGTAATCCACCACGAGTTCGTCGTTGGATTTCCAACTTGAAGAGGGAGGATTTTGGAGAGAGGATCAATATGTAGCCAACATTTGGAAGACGAATGTTTTCAAGATGAGTTGTAAAATAGCACATTTTGACAAATACCAGATACAGCATTAGGACTTGCTCAACAGCCGATATCACACCGTGACGTCACATACCGGTAGGATGCAGTAGTGCTCTTTGACAAACATGGCTGTGTCCATAAAGCACATTCAAATGAAATTACTCTTAATTAAAAACACTAATAACTTATTGAACAGTATGTAACAATTTCATATTTCAAAAGTTTGAATTCTGAATATGAACAGACTTCCTTTAAAGTATTAGTACATTAAATAGATTTTGGTTAAGGGCAAAAACCAAACAAACAATTTAAACTGAAACTGTTTTGTTCTTTTTAAAACTTATTTCACCTTTTGCTATAGGAACATGTTCCATAGGGAGTTTACACAAAGGAACCATACCTCACATATAAAAAGTGAAATGGCTCTTTATTTTTTGGTTTATCCATTGTGTATTTCTCAGTAACTTTTTAATCATATCTTGTAGTTTTAAACACAATTTGAATTTGACCATATCAAAAAGAACAGGGATAATAATGAAATACAAACCTATTTAAAGGCAAGACATTTTAAGAAACTGATACCTCAATTCAGAAACAATTTATAATCATACAAATTACAGAAATTATAACTTATTTATACCTGATGTATCCAAACCTGGAAAATTGATCATTTAATGTTCTGTTTTATAATTGCTTCACCTGTTACCTTATAGTCAAATCTCCATCAATTCATCACCAGTCATTTTCCTACTCCTGTATAAATGCCAGTTCTCTTTGTTACGTTTCAGGTCTTATGTTTTATATCTGTTGGTTTGCAATTGTTGTGAATTATGGGTTTCAATTTTATTTGGCTGTATATATCTTTTATTAACCTTGCATGCTCTTATGATGATTAAAACATATAGCAACATGTTAGAAATGTAAGTGCAAACATTATCATAGCAGTAAGTGTTAGCGATAAGTAGTAAAGACACCTAGCATTTCAATACACCAAACACATAGCCCCCCACCTCCGGAAACTAGGGGCTGTACTACAGACAAGGATTTCATGCAGCTAAATTCAAGATGACAGGTCAAGATCATTCAGCCACTGTCAGTAGCAAATAATTTAGAAGGATGTCGAGGTTTGTTAGGTTTTGTTGAGACCATTTCTGGACTGCTTCTCTTGCTGGCTTCCATGTTTAGATGCTGCTGCTCTTATACCAACATAATTAACTCAGGACCAGGAGGTAAACATGGTCTATATACTGCACCCTAGTAGTTCCGGACTGTACCTTTAGGTTTGAAAGGAAAAAAACGTTACAGAGACATCGTTAATAAATTGGTTTTTCGGGAATGTTACTTCCATCCCTGGTGACAAATGAGAATGGTTTTGGTTAAATTTACAGTTCATTTCTTATTTATTGTCCCTTTAAGAAGCTGTTCTGTATAGCAATCTCATATAGAAAGCACAAAGCCAAAAGTTTTGACCATTTTGAGCTAAAAGTTGATACATTTAAATATTTTGAAAAAGTCAGATTGAAGGCTGCAGTATAAAGATTAACCAGATAATATTTTCTCAGGGTGTCTTCTTTCCCTAGCTGGTACAAAGAGAGTGGCTCACCGCCCTAGGGGAATAATAGTTTCATTTTCCACTCCTCTCAACAGCTCCCAGGTTTGATTGAGTTCATATTTGAAGGTGATTTGGTCCCTATAACAACCAAGGATATTCACTCTTTCTTATCCTAAAAAAATCAATTCTAAAATAACTGAGCACAAGCTACCTACAAACCACTGTAGCTTTTATTATTATTATTTTTTATTTGCTTCTTCTCTTACGACGAGTCTTAAATCACTGCATTCAGTTTTTAGTTTCTTTATTTTAGTGGTGAAGGACCAGATAAAAAAAAAGAAAGAAAAACCTATCTATATGGTTTCCTTTTCATCCACAGAAAGTGGGACAACAAAAAGCAGATGTGTTTATTCATGTTTCCTATTTATTTTTAGTTTTATACATTTATTACTTTTATTGGTGGGGAAGATGGAGACTTCAGAAGTTGAAGTAGTTCTTCTCTGAGTTGATTTTCATTATTGATTCATTTTCCACTCACAAACACCATTGTAACAAAAACAATAACTGCTCGGTATGTTTTTTGTTTTTGTCTGGGATGAAGCGCATCCTGTAACATTCAGCCTCACAACCCCAACATTTCACAGTAAATAATGGAGTGAGAGTAAGAGCATTCATTACCCAGTCAAGCTGCACACTCCTTTCTCCTAGGTGCAGAATGTGGAACATGCTGCACACTCAAGCAGGATTTGGGAATGAAAGGTAAGTTAATGAGTTTTACTGCAGACAAAATTGCAGTTGAGAAAAAATTGTGAGAAACACGTAGAGAAGGGTTTCTTAATGGTGTTTGTGTTTGTACTGTAAAGAAGTTGCTGTATAGAATTAGTAGGAAGAAAGCACTTTTTTTAGTAAGACTGATTGTGCTTTCCTGGCTGTTGAATGCACATAAATCTCAACTTCTGCTTCTGCTTTAGCACCATTTACTCATGTGTATATACAAATATTTTTAAAAAGCACTATTTTAAATTTTTAAATATTTTAAAAAAGAAATTATTAATCTTTCCAATATTTCTGTGGTTTGTCAAACAATTTTTCAATTTAAATGGAAAAAAACCTGAGAGAAAAAATTGTTAATTGATCTGATCAAAAGATAAAAGCTGTCTGAGAGTGTTTACCTTCTGAACTGAAGATACAATTGAAGTGTCACTTTTACATTAAAAAGGGTCAGCTCAATATAGACTTGTTTAACCTTTTACTTACATTCTTAAAGTCATGCACCTCCACAACCTCCTTAGTGCCGTTTCCCATTCTAAGGATCTCAGTGAGGTCGTCTGGTTTGATCTCCACCACACTCTTCATCTCTTCACCGTCCACCACAGCTTTAAACCCATGGTCATACACCTGCAATGATATGAATAACTCATCATACAATAGTTGAGGTCATTAAAGAGATAGAACATTAAGACGTTTTTTTGTTGCTGAAGCCCAGCTAAAATATGTGTCAAACATAGCTATGGGCCTAAACAAAAATTCTCTGAAAGGTTCTTAGATAGCTAATTCAAACAAGCCTGGATCACACTGACAGCTGATCTTTAAATAAAAAGCAAAACAGAAACAACGTTCATGGGAGAATTGTATTGTAGGATTTAAAAAAAATAGAGAAAAAAATAAATAAATAGAGACTCGCTTTAACAGACCCCCTCCCCTAAAATAAATAAATAAATAAATAAAAGAAAGAAAAACGTTGACAAAATAATATCAAGAGAAACACCAGCTAGTAGGGTTACATTAATCTTTGCATCTTATTAAAAAGAAAGCTAAATGAAAACAGAAGTGTCAGATATATAAATATCTGAAATGCAAAAGAGGCTTATGTTACACAAAGAAGCTGTTTAAAATTAATGCGACAGTACTGTGAATGTATTCATAACCTGCCGGATTTATTTTTATCTCAGCCAAATGTTTTAGATAAGCAAAAAATTTAAATTATTACACAAAAAATAGATCAAAATAACTTATAAAGCAGTTTTCTTATACATATGGTGGGAGCTGAAAGAGATGTCCAAGCAAGCACCATTCATACAAAAGTTAAAGTTTCCTCGACTAATTTATTATTTTTTGTACCATCTTTATTATTAACAACTGTCATCAAGTGTTTTTTATAGGTCAGTGTTTTGCAGGGCTGTGAAGGATGACTTGGCCTAGTCTTTGAGGGTTTTCTGCACGCAAATTTTTTTAAAAACGTTTTTTTGTTTTGTTTTTTTGAGCATTAACAACTTGATTAAGGTAACACCACAGTAGCTAACATATTTAACTCAGACTTTGGCTAGGTCCCACTACCGTCCCATCTATCACTTACTGTTAGATGAACATTAAACTCAGGCAAACAAGGCCTGCAGAACTACAGATTGTGTTCTGGGCTCTTCATGAACTCCTTGATAACATATTTAATATGTTCTTAATGGAGTTTGGTTTTCTTTCATGGGAAGTTTTAATATTTGTAGCAGGAGGACATCTCCTCATGCTCCTGGAGGCAGGAGTGTTGGCTGCAGGGGCAGTGTCAGCCAATTGCCTCTGGGGGGCACCCTATAAAAGGGGAGTGGTGGCATTATCGGTTACCCTCTTCCTCTGGTTCCTCCTCTTTGCTTCCGGGTCGCCTCGGCTGCTGGTTAACGGTACAGGTAGGTTGCAGTGGCTGCTAGTGCGCTCAATGGATAATTGTGGTGCTGATGTGCATGTTTGGTGGTTTGTTAGACAAGACGTTCCCGGTTACAGCGCTCGTGATCAGCGCGTCAATCAAACCTGGCCGTAATCGGCAGCTTTGCCTCCGTCCTCTTCCTCAGTGGGATTTCTCTGGTGGCCGGATCGGTATGTATGCTGTATGACAATCTGACTCATTCACTTCCTGCTCCTCCACAAAGTAGTAATATTTTGTTGACAGGTCTGTGTGGGGCCTGGTGATCTGGGGAATTCCAGCGGCGTTAACTTGGGAGAAACAACACAGCTTTGACACGTTCCAGCTGCAGCTTTTTGATAGCTCACGGCAGTCGGACGCCTGAGCTGTGGCTCCACCTCGGTTCCAACTGTTGTTTAACCACGGCGGTGCGGTCTGAGACGCCTTAATCAGCCGGTATCGTGGCTGGTTAAACTTGGAGCCCGCCTGCAGCAGAAATTGCCCTCTTCCAGCAGCATAGGCTGGGCTGGATTATTCAAAGGGCTGTTTATGTGACAACTGTTCAACCTCTGTTACTGGACTGGTTCTTGATTGTTATTATTCCCGGTATTATTTTTCTTATCCTGAGTTTATTCAGTTATCTGGGTTGCCTGAGTCCATGGGGAATTGCATTTTGGGTTCCAATTGTTCCTGTGACTCTTAATGTTTGTTTTTTTGGGTTATTCTTTTTTTTTTGTTCTCTCCCCTTATAGTGTGTGTGTGTGTGTGTGTGTGCGTTGTGTGTGAAAAGCTATTTATGCCCCTCTTTGTCCTTTCAGTTGCTGAGAGCTGACGTGGTGGTTCCTGGTGTCCTGGTGGTGGGGACTTCCCGTTTTGGTGTGCAGTGCCGCCCCCTTCTAGTCCATTGTTTTACCGAGTGCATGTGTGTAGTGGCTGCCACGAGTGATTTGGGGTGTCTTCCTTTCTGTTTTGCTTTATCTACTGGGATCACTTCGCCTCGACCCACTCCATCAGGTAAGCCTCAGCACCTGAATCAGGCTCCCCCCTCGCCTTCCCGTGTGTGTGGGTAGTATATTTTAACAAGACCTGTTATTTTAATCATGTTTAAATAAAGAATTGCTGTTTTTTCTAAATTATAACCACGTCTCTGACTCTCTCTATGGTAGAACGGATCTACGTATCCTACCTTTAAAATTAATTCTTTGGGTGAAATTCCCAAGGTGGCGTTGTTGGTCCATTAGAAATCGCTAGTATCAGGTTCTCTTTCCTGTATACACCACCTGCTGCCACATTCTGTTTAACGTTCAACCCAGAGACCTTAGAAATGGCTTCTGGACAAACAGACATTAATTTGTATTTATTGAATGTATTTGCAGCTGGACATGCTGTTTTGCTTCATCATGTCATATGGGTTCTTTTTTAAGTGATTTCCTAGTTTTACAGGTCTGGTAGTAATTTGGCATAGCTGTGACTACAGAAACAAAAATGTGGATGATGATTATTTAATAAAAACAATAACATTTAAATGAAATTTTTTACTCAGATGGTTTGGAATTTTTTTTTGCTTTGATAAATTAAATGACCACCAACTTAATGAAATTTCCCTTTAACCCTGTAATGCCAACTGTATTATATTTGATACATACGGTTTCTGAAATGTTTTGCGTCTGTCACCTTTTGCATAATTTAATGGTAAAAACTTTGCTCAAAACCCTATTGTACACAATCAGATATACCTGATAACAGAGGGCAGAAGACTACACAAAAAATAATCTTGACTTATCGCATACTGTAGTAATAAATTATTAATATCAAAAATGTATTTCTGTTTTTTCTTTTTACATATTTTGTTAAAAGGCCAAATAAGGACTTCAAACCAAAAAAAAGTAATTTTCTGTTTTGTTTTATTCTTGGATCGGGCTTTAAAGGGTTAATACATCCCATTGGGAAACAAGGGACCAAACAAAAACACAGGCAACAATAGGCTTCTTATGTATCTTTGCCCTAAATGTATAACATAAAATGTGGCAGATGTGTTAGCCCAATAACAGTTGGCCGAAAGAGAGCTGTAGTTAAGGTGCTGGAAAAAAAAACAGGTTTGGTAGCTGGTCTGAAATGTTGGCCAAAGTTAGGTCTGAATTACTTTTTCTGAACCATTTCATATTCAGCATTTCATAATTTTAATGTCATCAGTGTGTTGAGTTGTGTGAAAGCTGGTATGGAACAAAGACATTACACTTTCAGTTTGCTGCAAAATGAAAACAATTGATTTAAGACAACTTTAACCCCACTGCCCAGAGTGTCCTTGATGCTGCAGCCCAGGAGAACACGCAGGAGTCCGGAGTTAGGTCAGGCAAACATATCAGAGCAAGAAGGCTCAGAAGTCCAGGAGTCCAAAGCCAGGCCAGGGAAACAGATCAGAACAGGAACAGGCTGGTTCAGAGGTCCAGGAGTCCAAAGACAGTTCAGGCAAAGCGTTCAGACTGGAACAGGCAGGCTGAGTGGTTGAGAGGCACATCAGGTCAGAATCAAGTAATCAGAAACACTGATGAATGCTAAGAACCCTCTCTCCACTGGCAGAGAGAATAATCTGCCCCTGATAACTGGATGTAAGCGCCTTAAATAGAGGCAGGAGCAGGTGGATCAGATGAGCAGTGGCAGTTTTGGACAGGTGAATATAATAAATAATTAAGCCAGTCGTCATGAGAGGTTTTTTGTTTTTTTACTTTGTTAAATCAAATGACCAGTTAATGAACTTTCCTTTTAATGCTTCTCATTGGGAAACAAAGGATCAAACAAAAATACAGGCAATAATAGGCTCCTTATGTATCTTTGCCCTATAATAAAAAGTAAAACATGGCATGCGTGTTACCCTTATAGCAGTTGGCCGAAGGAGAGCTATGGTTTAGCTGCTGAGAAAAACATGTTTGGTAGCTGTTTTGAGATGGTGGCCAAAGTTAGGTTTGAAATACTTTTTCTAAACCATTTCATATTCGATATTTCATGTTTTATATGTCATCAGTGTGTTGAGTTGTGTGAAAGCTTGTATGCAAAAAATGCATAACAGTTTTAGTTTGCTGCATCGCTCAATTCTCCTTGGAGACAAAATGAAAACAATTTATTTAAGACAACTTTGCTATGACTCTGTTTTCCAATCATAGCCTGAGAACCATTCATGAGTTTTCTGCCAAACTTTTAATATTTAATTTAGACTTTAATGTGAAACCCCATTATTATATAGGGGTCATATCCCCCATGTATGAAGCGCTTGACTCTACTGTTTCTTGCTCTTCTTATCTCCATTTCTGTTCTCTTTGGTTCAAACGACGTGGTGATACAATTTTAACAGTGAACAGCTTTAAAATATAAGAATTTCACGCCTATTTTTGATTCCTCATAATGCAGTAGGAAGAGGAATATCTCAGTGTAGCAGGAAAAAATTTCCCCTTGAAATATAATTTATGTGGTGAGTAATTTAAATACCTTTAAAAAGTATTATTTTGGATAACAGTGATTTGGTGAAGTCAAATATTTGTGTTTGCAAACTAAAAGGTCACATGTAAAAATGCACTTTTAGATTTTTGCCTCAAGAAATCATAATAAAGACATTTTAAATCTCAGCTACAGTTGAGGTTTTCTCTCCAGTGTGTTGCCTTTAAGCGGTGTTGTTTATCACAACCACTCGCTTTATGTACTGTTCTTGGACACGCATGGATAGCTCTTAAAATTCCCTGTCTGAAAAAATGATTCACGCCCACCAGCTGAAAATATGCTATTAATATTTATGTGAGGGTTGTGTTATGATGAGAAATATATTGCTGAGTTCATCTTCATCTGTCTTAGTGGCAAATCAGAGCCTTGCCAATGAGACGCATGATTAATGAAGATACTCGGATGGGGAGTCCATCAGGATTTATATCCCCCATCAGAACCATCTCAATGTCCTCTAATGTTCTAATGCAAAATTAGCTTTCACTCTAAATGTATCCACTTATTTAGTATTTAACTTGCTTTGTATTGGCATTCTTGTACACAGCTTCTAAGACATGTGCTAAATGTGCAACATTACAGAAAATGATCACTAGACCTACTCTTTTTCTGTGGGCGAGAAAGGAATCATGATGTCCAAATGGGATATAATTCCTAATGGATGATCACTGTCAGAATGGCACAAGCCAATAAATCTCTATTAAAACGGCTTGCAGAGGACTGCGCTCTGAAAAGAAGTTGAACAGAAAATTGTCAAGAGAAGGCAAATTAAGATGGGCTCGAAATTTAAGTGTCAATTGAGCAGTTATAGATAAAATAGAGGCTATTAAACCCCTTGAAAGTCTGTGCGGTGCATTAAAGTCCTATTTGGGAATTTCTTTTGTATTAACATAAAGGTGGGAGTTAGGGAATAGATTTGGGGGGCTTATTGATTTATACTAAAACAGTGAATTACATTTTCAGCAGGCTGTCTCGTCTGATGAAAATCCAACAGAGAGGATCTACCCAGCACACCGGGTTGAAATAGATAATAATGTATTACAACAGTTTGATTTAAACTGGTTCAATAGCAAAAGCTGCTGCTGTGCACAGTAATTGGCATTCTGAAAATAGAAATGAATAGCCTTTGTAAGGCCTCTTTTAATACCTTTACTCAAGAACATAGGAAAAACCTTCAGTGTGATTTATGCCACTTTGGTTAGGAGCCTTTTGCAGAATATTGTACAGAATATTGTATTTTACCTTCCTGTATTGAGGACTGACTCTTTTAAAAGCTGTTGTGAACATAGTACATTATCTAATGCATATAAATACCAGTTTGTCCATGGTGGTGGTGGACACAAAGCAGAGGAAAGCCATCGGGGTTGACATACAGTAACAATAACAAGTGACTGCAACCTCAGTTAAAAAAGAACATGAGAAACTACAGAAATACCAGGGGCTCAGAGAAGATTTGAAGAAAATCTTGAAGTTCAAGGCATCAGTGGTGCCCATTGTCATAGGGGCGGTGACCCTAAAACTTGATGAGTGGTTACAGAAGATCCCTGGAAATACATCAGACATCTCTCTCCAGAAAAGTACAGTTCTAGGAACAGGAAAGATACTGCGCAGAACCCCCCCAAGCTCCCAGGCCTCTGGTAGAAGACCTGGACGTTGAGGAAAAAAGGGAAACCACCCGCGGGCAACTGTTCAAAAGTTTGGGGTCACATTGAAATGTCCTTATTTTTGAAGGAAAAGCACTGTACTTTTCAATGAAGATAACTTTAAACTAGTCTTAATTTTAAAGAAATACAGTCTATACATTGCTAATATGGTAAATGACTATTCTAGCTGCAATATCTACATAGGTGTATAGAGGCCCATTTCCAGCAACTATCACTCCAGTGTTCTAATGGTACAATGTGTTTGCGCATTGGCTCAGGGTAATTGATGATTAGAAAACCCTTGTGCAATCATATTCACAGATCTGAGAACAGTTTAGCTCGTTACAGAAGCTACAAAACTGACCTTCCTTTGAGCAGATTGAGTTTCTGGAGCATCACATTTGTGGGGTCAATTAAACGCTCAAAATGGCCAGAAAAAGAGAACTTTCATCTGAAACTCGACAGTCTATTCTTGTTCTTAGAAATGAAGGCTATTCCATGCGAGAAATTGCTAAGAAATTGAAGATTTCCTACAACGGT